TCCTGTTCTCATCATATGCCCCCACTTCTTACTTCTCTATTGTTGCTTAATGGAAGTGATGAAACTAAAACTTAATTAATCCAGGTCCCAAATGTTCACTTTCCATTTAATCCTGGTCCATAAAAATACCTAGATTTTCTTACTGCAACATGCAGTCCCACAAGTATGCAAAGGTATGGTATAAGAGACAAGTCCTAGAAGTTTCTGTAAAACATTCAGGATGTTTGGCTCAAAACAATAGTAAAAATTCTATTTGGCTCTTTCATCTTGAACATGGACAATTTCTAGCCCTTGGTTTCAGTTATTATAACTAAGAACGTGATTTTTTTTTTATTCCAGGAAAAGGATCAAGAAAGAAAGAGATGTCAAAGTCAACACCACATTTTCCGGCTCAATTGGATAAATGCAGATAGTATTTACTAAGATTGACATTAAGGAATAGAGGCACATTTGGGATGGGGTTGGAAAATCAAGAGCTGGTCTTTCTATGAACATTTAGGTTATTTACAGTTCATGTTATTACAATCAATAGTGCGGTAAACATTCTTTTACAGATCTCCTGTGCACATGGGTAAGACTTACGCCATGGTATATACATAGGAGTAAAATAGCTGAGTCCTAAGGTAATCAAATCTTCAATTTTAATATTTTCATGGAAATTGAAATCTTGTGTGCACGAAGTATTCTATAAGTGAGGCAAATTTATCACTTAAAATATTTATAAGGTTGTGTTTAGGTATATAAGGTTATGCTTAGGTATATACATTAAACATGGGGTCATTTCAGTCAATTTAATTTCCTCTGGTTCTGATTTCAGTAGGCACCATTAGATGGATAGATGGAGACTGAAAACCACACAACAGTGACAGAGTTCATTATTCTGGGATTAACAGACAACCCCACACTATGTGCCATTTTCTTTGTGATTTTTCTAGGTGTTTACGTAGTAACCATAGTGGGAAATATCAGCATAATTATCTTAATCCGAAGCAGCCCACAGCTTCACACCCCTATGTACCTTTTTCTTAGCCATTTGGCCTTTGTGGACATTGGGTATTCCACATCAGTCACACCAATCATGCTGATGAGTTTCTTGAGAGAGAAAACTGCTATCCCAGTCACTGGCTGTATAGCCCAGCTCGGCTCTGATGTCACCTTTGGGACTACAGAGTGCTTCCTGCTGGCCACCATGGCCTATGATCGCTATGTGGCCATCTGCTCTCCCCTGCTCTACTCCACCCAGATGTCCCCAGTGGTCTGCTTCCTCCTACTGGGGGCCTCCTACCTGGGTGGATGCATGAATGCTTCATCATTTACGGGCTGTCTGATGAACCTGTCCTTCTGTGGACCGAATAAAATCAACCATTTTTTCTGTGACCTCTTCCCACTCTTGAAGCTTTCTTGTGGCCATGTTTACCTTGCTGAAATATCTCCTGCCATCTCCTCTGCATCAGTCCTTATAAGCACACTGTTTACCATCACTGTGTCCTACAGCTACATCCTCCACTCAATCCTGAGAATGCGCTCTACTGAGGGGAGGAAGAAGGCCTTCTCCACCTGCACTTCCCACCTCACTGCAGTCACTTTGTTTTATGGGACAGTTTTGTTTGTCTATGTGATGCCCAAATCGAGCTATTCAGCGGACCAAGTCAAAGTGGCATCTGTAATCTACACAGTGGTGGTCCCCATGTTGAACCCCCTCATCTACAGTCTGAGGAACAAGGAGGTGAAGGAGGCCATGAGAAAACTAATGGCTAGAACACATTGGTTTTCCTGAATTAAATCAGGTATAAATCTATAAATAACAAACCATTGATTTGTGGAACATTTGTGCTGGATATTTAGTGATATTTCTCATTAACTTTATCACTTTTACAATGAGAAGCTCCCATAAATATATAAAAAATCCAACGTTTACTTCCATTTATAGAGTTAAGTGTATCATTACCATGGATATCCACTTGGTTCAAATTAAATACGGATTTTTCAAGGTAGGGATACCTTCAAAAACTTTTCTACTTAAAATCCCATTTACCAATTATAGAGCTTTACTTAAATGGAGAGATATTTCAACCAAAGATCAGATTTAATTGAATTCCATTTTTGTAAAATACCATTTGGGAAAGAAAATTCTCCTCGGTGATGTGTAACAGATGGTAATACTGACAAGTCAGCAGTTAAGGTACTTTCTTTAAAGATACTGCCTTGCATTGGTCAATGGATAGTTCAACTATTGGAAACCTTGATGTTAGTGTCTCAGAAAAGCTTCTATTTATCTTTACTTTATTTAAGCCAGAGCAAAGATCATGATTCCCATGTTTGACCATTAAGAGATCCAACCCAGATAACACAGAAGAAACTCTGTATAAATTTCAGCTGACTCTTCTCATGACTTGTCTTACCAGGTGAATAACAGGGTAGGATTTTGGAAGTTCCTTTTCTTTGGCATGAGAGACTGAGATGGGACTTTCTTCCAGTAACAGTTCATAGACAGGAGATACGAAGTTATGGTTTAGGCAAGAAATATCCGCTACACATTTTGTGTCTCAAGGAGCTGTCCACCATCACAGATTCTTCCACTGCCTTTTTTGACAGTGCTTATGATCCAGTTTGGTTATGACAATTGCCTCTAAATTGATTCCCTGCCTCCTGCACTCCTTTCACAATGACATGATTAATATTTTAGTTAATATGTTTAATATTTAGCACATAAATGTCAGAAAAATCCTGAGACAGTTGGGGAGCATTACTTTACAAGCAAACTTCCTATTCCTGGGTTCTTCACTGACCAGATCAAGAAAACCACCTCCTTTCCTGCCTGGAAGCCACTTTGTGGAATTTCTCTGGTCCTGTTTCCCCATTCATACCTCTTTACTTGCATCAGTTATGGGCCTGTAATCCTATCAGTGCAATAATTCTGGAGCTAAAGTCAGCACAGACATGGCCCTTCACAAAGAGAGGGAACTCCAAGGTATTACTTCAGTCTTGGAAAGGGCTATGTTCGAGTTGTGGTGGGTGCTCTGCACTTTGGTGGTTGAAGTTTTCAGGCAGTCTTCCTCTTCATGTTTCCCCCTACACTTCTTGCTTTTCACCAGGATTCATGCTCAGCCCTCTGCCCTTCCCCCCATTCCTCATGGTCTCCTTGAGTGACCTCATCTTCTCAAGAGCTCAGCTGACATCTGTGTGGTGGCAACATCCAAATCTTCACATACAACCTTCCTTGGAGGACAGATGAACTTCACTGACCTTTTCCTCAAGACTTTCAAATTCAGTGTGCCCTGACTGAATTTTTCATATTTCTCCCCAAACTATTTACTCTTCTCTGTTCCTTTCTCAATAACTGGCAAATCATTGTGAGGTTTAGTACTCTAACAAGTTTGGGGTGCCTCTGATGGCACATCTATCAAAATGGTCTGCTCCCCTCCATCCCGTTTCATCTCTCAGGGGGAACACATGTCCCATATTGACCTCTTCCTTCTTTAAGTCTCTTTTGTGTAGGAGCTTAAACACTCCCCGATTGATTATGATGAATCCATGCAGAGATTTTTTTCATTCATATTTCCACTTTAAGGGATTCAAATAATTCAATTACCCAGATGCAGGGAGTGTGGTGTGACACTGTTAATAGTCCCTACTAGACAGGATATACAATGACTCATTCTCTTCTCCCAAACTCTAAATCAACTAAAGAAATGGCAGAAAGAGAAGGTATATAGAAGAGCAAAATATTATCTGTATGAATGAAAGAGCTGATGTTAGAGAATGTGCCACAATTTTGTGGACATATATGTTTTTGCATTCTAAATCCCAGAATTTGACACTTTTTCCTTCTCTGTCACTGGCAATAATGGAAATACTCAGGTCTCCCCAGTGAGTCTAGGCCTTTATCCATTAGCTTACAGCATGGCCAAGAGCTGCCAAGAACAACGAGGGCAGGCTCAGTTGCAAGAAAAAGGGAGAAGAAGGGCTGGACTTGTTATGGATTGAATTATGTCCCTCAAAAATTTATATGTTGAAGTCCTAGCTGCCAGTACCTTATCTGGGAATAGGGTTGTTGTGGATGTAATTAGTTAAGATGAACTCATATTGAAGTAGGCTGGGTTTCTAATACAGTATGTCTGGTATCCTTATTTCAAAAAGGACAATTAGGATACAGACAACACACAGAAATAACATCATGTGGAGATAAAGACAGAAATATGGGTTATGCTTCTACAAGCCATGGAACTTCAAAGATTGACAGCAAACCAGGAGAAGCTAGGTGAGAAGCATGGAGCCGATCCCACAGCCCTCAGAAGGAAGCAACCCTGCCATACCTTGATCTTGGACTTCTACTGCACCTTCACTTTTGAGAGATATTTCTATTTTGGGTAGAATTCTAGGTTTTCAGTTAAAAATCTTTTAGCACTTTTAAGATTTAATTGTTTTCTTGCTTCCATCATTTCTTTCCAGAACTCAGCTCTCAGTCTTCATTTTTTCTCCTTCTTTTTTGAAGGGAGTATGTCTTTTATTTTTCCCCTCGAAGTTTTTAACATTTTTGTTTGTTTGTTTTAGACTTCCTGTAGCCTTTTCATGATTTCTGTAAGTGTGGTTCTTCCTGTATTTATCATGTTTAAAATCTGCAAAGTTTAATAGATTTTTAGCTCATGGTCCTTCATCAGTTTGGAAAATCATCATTGAATATTTCTTCAGAATTCTTTCTACCTCTCCTTTTTTTTTTAGATCTTCAATCACACATAGGTTAGGTCTTTCCACAATTTCTTATATAGCTCTCGCATTCTTTTTGATTTTTGATATTTTTCTTAGTCTTGTAATTTGTATGTTGTCTCCTGACCTCTTTTCAGTTTACTCCTTCTCTTTTCTGCTGTGTCCCATCTACTAATAATCCATCTGCTGAATTCCTAATTTATTTTATTTTTCATTTCTAAGATTTAAATTTAATTCTTTTTATTTCTTTTATTGTACTCAGTTCTGTGGTATGAGTCTTCATTTTATTCCTCTATTTTTCTTAGACATATTTTTAATATTTAATTTGAAGTACTGGTTTTCATTCATTTGGTCCTGTTTAATGGCATATCTTGTCTTATTTCATTGAATGATGGGCAATATGGATAGAAAATTGTAGAGGTTCTAAATGACATTATCTTCCTCCAAAATGTATTTAATTTTATTCTTGCAAGAAAATAAAAGGCTTCGTCCCTTTGAGGAAACGAAAACACAGTGCCCGAAAGGGCCATTCACATAGAGAACTGATGTCTCTATGTACAGTATAACTCCTAAACTTGCATCCTAGTAGAATGTGGTGGTTTTTCCAGTGTAGGCTGGGTGCTGTCCTTTGTGGGGATGATCTATGTCTGATTTGACCTTATTTCTAGGATGTAACAATTACTCCCAAGATACCAACCTTCAGGACTCTCAAATAAAAGCATAAGTTGTTATGGGTCCCACCTATCTTAAATGGCCTATCTACCAAGCTCTATCCAACCAGCACTGCAAAATGCCAAAATCTCTGGTAAGATCAGGCTCTCGCAGGCTGACTTCCACCTGGTGTTTGCTATCTCACCAGCCCATGTGCTGGGAGTAGTCAAACTCCATAATGAGGAATTACACATACAATTTCAGGCTCACTTCTCTATAGTTATTTACTGTCCAGGATCTTGGCCTCATAAGTCTTAGGCATCTTTGACCTCAGACTTCTATCTACTGATCCTACCTAACTGCCAAAAGCCCCAACTGTATCTTTTTGCTCAGTCCCTATTCCTTATGATATCATCTGGCAAATATATTTATTTATGAGGATCAAGGAAAACTTTGCTGAAGAAATGACATTTAAACTGAGACATAAAGGTAAAAAGGAGTTAACTGGTCATTCAGAGCTGGAGATGCAGTTGTAGAAACTTTTGTGGGTGGATGAAAGTGATGTGGGAGGTTGAACTAATTATCCTTGGCTCAAAGTACAGTGTCTGCTACAGGGCAAGTATTCAACAAATAACTGCTGGTTAAACATTAACTCTAATTCAATAAATACTTATTTAGAGCCTCCTTTTTTCCTAGCAGTAGGTTATGAACTGAATAAGTCATGTGCTTTTCTTTCAGGAAGTTCACAAAAATCAAAGAAATGTTTCTTGAAAATACAATGGTCTCCATTCAAGTGGTATGAATGAAGTACTAGTTGCCATGTTTTTTTTAATCTTTAAAACAATTTTAGATGTTTTTATTTTTTAATAAAAATTGTGTATATTTAGACGGGGATTTCAAAATTGTAGAATAGATAAACAAGACTATACTGTATAGCACAGGGAAATAAATACAAGATCTTATGGTAGCTCACAGAGAAAGGAATGTGACAATGAATATATATATGTTCATGTATAATTGAAAAATTGTGCTCTACACTGGAACTTGACACAACATTGTAAAATGATTATAAACATTTTTAATTGAAAAAATGTTTTAAAAATTGTGTATATTTAATGTGCTCAACATGATGTTTTGACATACATACACATAGTGAAGTGATTAATATAATCAAACTAATTAACATACCCATCTCCTCACATCTAATCTTTTTTTAGGTGTGGTAAGAGTAACTAAAGTTTATTCTCTTAGCAAATTTCCAGGATAAAATACAGTATTATTAATGATAGTTATAATGCTGTATATTAGATCACTAGAACTTATTTATCCAACACAACTGCAACTTCATATCC